TTTTTTAGTTTAGGAACTTACCTTATTCGAGCTAAATATCAGTGACATACGGAAGGACATACGAACAGATTACGTGGTAGAGCCTTGCTGCAACTAAATCATGGCTGTAGCATGAATGGGTCGGCTCGACCGGGGAAGGACCACGCTTTCACAGAATACCAGCGTAAAATAGCAGCTTAATGCTGCTGTGTTTCGTATGGTGAGTGAAGAGAACCGGAGATCCGTTTTACTGGAATCGAGGTATTCCATCTTATCCTCTTATCTTATCATCTTAGTCCTCAAGGGTGACAACACATCTGCATTTTGATTCTAATCCAGGTTAAATGTAGATGTCTTTGGGCCACAACATCCACCTACTATCAGGTGGGCTGTGTGCTCGTTATAAAAAAACACACACATCCTATAAAAAAGAAAAACAGACAGGCAGACGGACACACAGCAAAAGAGGGTTATGTTGATTTGGCTCTGTATTACCCTTTACCTCAAAAATAAAAAAATAAAAAAACTCAACCTAGTAATATTCTTTTTATAACGAATATTTTGACATACGATAATACGAGAAATTTTCTGATTGTATGTATTAAGTAAATTAATGATAATATATTTTATCAAAATTAAACATATTTAGTTTTTTTTTTTATTTATTTATCAGATCAAACAAAAATTACATTCCAATATAGGCTTAATTAACATCTAAAACACACAGAGGTTTACCTTGATGTTAAATAATTAAATTAAAGTAAGCGAATTATGTACAAAACACAGTCTAATTCAATAGTTAGGTATATGAGTAGGTAGAAGGTGTAACAAGAATATAAGGACTAAAAAGGTAAGTTAACAACTTAGTTAAAGTCAGAAGTAGCAAGGTAAAAGTAAAAGTAAGAGCTAGGCAGGTAGTATATTATTATTATTAAGTAGATATAGTATGTATTTATAATTTAGATAGGAAAAAGTTTTTGAGTTTAGTTTTAATGTTTTGTTGTGATACTTTTTCACGTACATCGAAAGGTAAGTTATTTATTAAATGCGGTACCTGATAAGCAGCCGTCCGTTGCCCGTACACATTATTAGCAGTGATATGCCGGAGTCGGTTTTGTGTCATAGCGCGCGTACGTACTGGATGTTCTATATATGATTTTAAACTGTCGCAAAAGAAATATTTTTTTTAATAACAATAATTTAATTTGGTCATAAACTGGTAAGATTTTACAATGTTTAAAAATCGCATTTTCATCATCACCAATTAGGATACGTATATTAGGGGATATAATATTTTTGAGAATACTAAGTTGAAGATCATAGATCTGTTTTAAATATGATTTGTACGTCCGACCATAGCTCGACAAGCCATACTGAATATAAGATTCAGCCAGGGAGTTGTAAAGCATAAGTCTTACTTTGAAGGGTATGCGATTTTTTAGGATTTTTATATTGGCTAGAAACTGACGCAACTTATTACACACTTGTTCAATGTGGTAGTTCCAGTTAAACTTTGAGTCAATTGTTCCTAAAAATGATCCTTACTTGCCTAAATCATCTTCGAGGCTTGACCGTTGTCCTATTCCCAAAGTAAAAACAAGATTCGCCCAAAAGCAGTTTGATTTTATTGTTCCACACCTATATAACAGACTGAATAAGGAGTATAATGTAAAAAAGTGCAATAATAATGGTATTAAGAAGTATATTTTTTTATGGCTTAAAAACCTTGATTATGACGATGTAGAACACATGTTAACTGGTTTTTATTACTGACAAAAACACACACACACACACACACACACACACACGCACACACACACACACACACACACACACACACACACACACACACACACACACACACACACACACACACACACACACAACACACACACACACACACACACACACACACACACACACACACAAACACACGCACGCACACATTAATACAACTACATACATAACAGATATGCGCTAGTGAGTAGCCCGTTCTTTACTAATTTTTGTTTTCTTGATTTAAGTAGTTCTGCTGAATAACTTATAATGTACCTTATCTTATGGCATAAATTAATAATGCAATGTTATGGGAGAAGCCACTGGCTCCTGAAACACAGTTTTACACTAGTTTAGGAGCCTATGGATTCACTGAAATATTTATTGTAATATTTTATGTCAAATAAATTTTATTATTATGGGGTATCTATATAGTTTTCTCATCTGGTTGGGTGCTATAAATATATAATTATAAATGAAAATGAAAAGACAAATATACATAAATATCAATAACATAAAATAAATATAAAAGTACATAAATAAATAAAAGCCCAACCAGATGGAGGCCCTCGGCAGGGGAGACCAAACGGCCGAGGGTTAGGGGGAAAGGGAAAGAAACCGGCGGACGATGCGGGCGGTATCGAGAAGCACCGCCTTCTGCATTTGAACCTGGAGCGGTCCGCCACGTAGTCCCAGCCGCCTCAGATGACCCGAGAGGCTGACTGGGATTAGCCCGTTTGCAGAGACGACTACAGGAATAATTTCGGTCGGCAGACCACCCCACATGTCGGTCACCTCGTGAGCCAGGTCCAGATATTTTGTTTGCTTGTCTGTTTCGGCTTTCACGAGGTTCTCGTCATACGGAATGGTAATGTCGACCAAAAATATCCTTGACTGTGCCCGGTCCATCAGCACAATATCAGGCTTATTCGCAAGAATAGTCCTGTCTGTGATGATGGCACGGTCCCAATAGAGCCTGGCGCGATCATTTTCGAGCACGGCTTCCGGCAAGTACTTGTAATACGGCAATTTCCGATCCACGAGACCGTATTTCAGAGCGAGCTCCTGGTGTAGAATTCTGGCTACTAGGTTGTGCCTGTGCAAGTACTCAGAGTTAGAAAGCGCCGAACAACCGGAGATAACATGCCTAAGTGACTCACCGGGATGGCGACAAGCTCGACAGATGTCGACGGTGCCATCCTTTAGGATGTATCTCCGATAGTTGTTGGTCTTAATAACCTGATCCTGTATTGCACAGACAAAACCCTCGGTTTCCCCGAAGAGATCACCAAAGCGTAGCCAGTGGAGGGAGGCTACTGTGTCTACGAAAGGCTCATGTAGAGCCTTGTAGAACCTCCCGTGGAGCTCCTTCTCCTTCCATACGGTCTCCCGGTCAGAAATGCTCTGCACTGCCGGGTCTTGCCATTGCTCGTTGGCTAAGGATAGAGGGGTAAATCCTTTATCACAAGAAATGACGTCCTTATAGAATGGATCATCCGATCTCGCCAGGAAGTAATCACGGAGGCTGCACACTTCGCGATTATGCATGGTGAGCGCGCTCAAGAAGCCACGACCACCATGCTTCCGCGGCAAGTACAGCCTCATTACCGACGATCTCGGATGATGCATCCTATGGGACGTCATTGTAGTGCGGATTTTTCTATCCAGGGCGTTAAGTTCAGTCTGAGTCCACCTGAGTATGCCAAAGGTATACATGAGGACAGGCATGACCCAGCCGTTATATGCGTGTGCCTTATTCACACCGGACAAAAGGCTGTTAAGCACTTTGGTCAAGCGTGCATAAAACACGTCGCAAACTGACTGTTTCATACCAGTCTCATCGATACCGATGTTTTGTGACATACCCAGGTATCGGTATGTTTCAGCCTCGGAAAGGGTCCTTAAGTTGACGGGCATAGATAAGTCTACGCCCTCAGAGTTAGCAACCCGTCCCCTTTCAACATGGAGGACCGCACACTTATCCGTTCCCAGCTCCATTCCAATAGAATTGCTAAATTCACAAGTGATGTTTAACAATTCCATAAGATGGGAGCGACTGGAGGCGAATAACTTGAGGTCATCCATATAGAAAAGGTGGGTCACTTTTGTCCCTCCTTTCCGTAGCTGAAATCCCCTCCCGGAGCCCTCCAGTAAGGTACTGAGAGGGTTCAGAGAGAGGCAGAACCAGATTGGACTCAGACAATCGCCCTGGAAGATACCCCTTCTTATCCTTATGTGGTTCTCCGCAGCCATCATCCGCTTGCCTAGATGACAAAGGATCGTACTCCACTGCCCCATACACTGCTCGAGGAAGTCTCTAACTGTACAGTCTATCTTGTACAGCTCGAGGACTCTCTTTAGCCATGTATGGGGCACCGAGTCGAATGCCTTTCTGTAGTCTATCCAGGCGGCGGAGAAGTTCCGACGGTTGCGTTTCACCACTTTGCCAATGACCGCGTCAATGAGGAGTGGTTCCTTGGTTCCACGACCACCGCCCCGACATCCATTTTGAGCGCGCGACATCACCTGATTTGAGTCCAGGTGACAAGTGATTCTCGCGCTCAAAATGGATGTTAGTGTCTTGTATATGGTCGGTAGACACGTGATGGGGCGGTATTTGCTCGGGTCTGTGGTACCCTGGTCTTTAGGAACTAAATGAGTGATCCCAGTAGTGAAGAGGCTTGGGAGCGACTTCTGGTTGAGAGCCTCTTGAAACTGTCGGGCGAGCACAGAGTGACACACCATGAACCCCTTCAGCCAGTAGTGATGCAGCCCGTCAAGCCCCGGACTTTTCCAGTTCGGGGCCCTACGAACCGCCTCAGCTACGTCATCCGGCGTTATGATGACGGGGTCCATGGGCGTAATACCCGCACACTGACTCGCCACAACTTCCGTCCAAGGGCCCTCGCTGTGGTTTACGGGCTCTGACCACAGGCCGCGCCAGAATGCTACAGTGTCGGCCTGATCCGGTGCTGGACCCGTTCCACTTACCATTGGTCGCTCCAATGATTCATAGAGCCTCTTCTGATCACTCTGGAAGAGACGATTCTGGTTGAACCGTGTCGACCTCTCGGTATATCGCCGAATCCGCTTTCCCCAAGCAGCGATTCTCTGCTTCAGATCATCTATGCGCTCCGTCAGTTTTTGCGTTATATGCGGCTGGGACAAACTGACATTTGTCCCAGCAAACGCCATCCTGACGGTGCGCACAATTCTTGGCCTGTTGTTGCCTGATCTGAAGCATATCAGTCTGCCGATGAGAGCTCTAGCTTTGCGATACGTTCCTCAATTCTTCTTCTCCATGCTGGGATAGCGCTACTATGGCCAGTAGCGCGTCCAGCCGTGGAAACCTTGGCGCCTATGATACGGCAGACTGCCAGCGCGGCGCCAAAAAGAATTGAGTCCGTCTCGCAAAGGTCCCGGCTGGCTTCCAAATAGGTAACCAGCATTGGGTTCAGAGCCCTCACGACAGCCCGATTCCGCTTGCTTAGGGCTATGCGGGGAAGTCGCGGTCGATTTTCGAGAGGCGTACTGCGCGTTTCCACAATCGCCTCTTCCAATATACTCCTCATATGCTCTAATTCCAGTTCCTGGGCGAGTGTTCCATCATCGTTTGAATCAACCACAACTGGGGTATTCACGGCGGCATCCACGTTTGCGGGTTGCTCTACCATTTGTGGCGCCGCATCCTCAGCCGTAGCATTCTCATCCGACGAGGGAACAGCCTCACGTCGTAGCCGTTCGAGTTCGGCGACATCAAATATATTTGAGCGCAAGATATACCGAACTCGGTCTGCCAGGTTTTGCTCTGTGACGATTAAAGATGGCTCCAGCTCAGCAAAAAGACGATGCATCCTAGCCCGATACGCCAAACATCCAGTTTTTTCCCCTTTTGCCCTAAAGTACGCCCGCAGTGCGTTTGCATTCATTTCTTGTGACCAACGCATGCGACGTGCTCCACCAGCGGCGGGTGCCGCTTGCTGAGTCCGAGAAGACCCAGCCGACACCAAGCCTTCTGGTGGGGATGATGGATGCGGAGGGCTGGTAGATGACCGTGCAGCTCCTCGCGCTCGGCTGGCGGCCCGCATGCTGCCGCGTCCAGCGCCAGCTCCAGACGCGCCCCGGCGACCCCCAGGCAGCGGCCCTTTGCGCACTATCTTTTTTATCCATCATCCTTATCTTATTATTATTATTATTATTATTATAATTATAAGGCCAAGGTATTTTTGTGAGGTCACAACTTCGATTGTAGGGCATTGGCAAGTTCCTAGTTGATGGAGGCAGTCGTGATTATGAGCAATTAATGGTTTTGGAGTAGGATACCTCATATACGGAGATTTGATAATCATGAGTTTGGTTTTATTGGCATTTAACATTAGACCAACGTCATAGCACCATCTTATCATCATGTCTAAATCGGCCTGGAGAGCATTACACGCATTTGAGATATCCTTACCCGAAACGAGAAGACACGTATCATCTGCGAATTGGTAACAGGAACTGTGTTTCAGACAGTTATTCATCTCGTTGACATAAGATAAAAAGTGCAACGGGCCAAGTACTGATCCTTGGGCCGTGCCTTCTGTCACATTCTTAGGGTCACTGAATGCGTTATTTAATTTAACCGTAAATGTACGATTTTGGAGGTAATTTCTACACCAATTAAGTAACGGACCCCGGATACCACAATCATCCAGTTTATGGACTAAAAGTTGATGTTGCAGCGTGTCGAAGGCACGAGAAAAATCAATAAACAAGGCCAGAACACATTTTTTAAGGTTCAAATGCTCGTTTACCTCATCTGTAAATTTACATAAAAGGTCCGTAGTACTTTTACCTGCTTGAAATCCGTACTGGTTTTTGTTTATTACTTCGTGCTTGCGGTAAAAATTATGAATCTGCTCACAGATAGCTTTTTCAACTATTTTATCAATATTAGAAAGCAGAGTGATTGGTCGATAGTTGGAGTAATCATCGTGTTTGCCCTTTTTGAAAACAGGTCTCACACAGCCTATTTTGAGGTCGTCGGGATATTCTCCAGACGCAATACTGCAGTTAATTAAATTGGCAATGGGTAAGGATATATGTTTATCAACCATTTTTAGATCAGCTACTCTAATACCGTCAGGTCCAGGAGCCTTATGTGAGTTCAGTCTCTTAATAATTTCGTTAACATTGTTCTGAGAAACTTTTTTGAACAAAATACTTGAATCCACCGGTCTCTGATAAGTTAGTGGTTTGGTTAATTTTAAGCTGCATTGAGGAACAATGTCTTTAACTGCCTTTTCAAAGCTTTTTTCGAAGTTGTTATCTATCGCTTTGGTGGTAAGGCCCTGTCAATCAAAAGCCTTCAGTATCGCCTCGTCAATGGATATTGTTACTCGTCCTAACATCTGGTTAATGATTTTATAAACTTTTTTTGTATCTTTAAAGTTATTATGTATTTCATTAAGATAGTATGTATTTCGTTTTGATTCTATTAGTTTATTGAGTTTATTTCTAGTTTTATTATATTCTAGTCTTATTTTAGGATCAAAAGAGCTATTTTTCCAAAGCTTAAATAAGTAGTCCCTTTTTTCACATAATCGGGTAACATTACCATTGATCCAAGGGGCTATAGGCAGATTCCTACGATTTTTAGAATACCTAACAGACCTACTAATAGTCGCAGTCTTTATAGCTGTTAGGAACGATTTTTTTATAAATGAAAGTATATCATTTGACGAACTCATGTTATTTGTCTGTTTCCAATCTGTAATACTCACCGCATTACTAAAAATGGTACGATCAAAAGTAGTTTTTTGTGTTACATTCTGCACGCATCTTGTAGGTGGTGAGTCGTCAAGACACGTAAACACTATGCCCCGATGGTCAGCCAATGCAACGTCCAACACAGCTGAGTACGGATCTGATGTGGGGAACCTCGCAAATATGTGATCAATGCAAGATTTAGTGACTTTATTTTTTCTTGTTTCAATTCTAGTATAGTTTGAGATTCCGCACATTAATCCGCGCTCGCTGAGTGTTTGCAAATAAGTGTCCCTGTAAGATGAAATGGTTTTTAGGTCAATGTTGGAATCGCCGATTAATAAGAGGTTTTTATTAGTGTCGTAGTTTGAGATATACCTGCCAAGCTCCTTTACAAACAAATCCTTGTTTCTTTTTGGAGGTTTATAAATTGCACATACAACTACATCTACGGTCGGGGTCAGTTTTAAGGTACCCGTTATGTTTTCGAACATGATACTTTTATGTGGTGTTAGTGTAAACTTGAGATGGTTTTTGACATAAGCGATGATACTGCCTCCCCGTTCCGCCGATCGCAATCGGTAGTACATATTATAACCCGGTAAATTAAAAAGGTTAACAATCATATCTGTTACACCAACTTCGGTTAGAATAATCAAGTCTATGGGGTATTTAGAACTATGAATAACTTGTTGAAGCTTTGCAAAATTCTTTATGAGTGATCGTATATTAAAATGTAAACTTGTAAGTAATACATGACGTTTTTTCGGTAATTGTTGAAAATAGTTATTTATATCGTTACAGTTACCAAATTCTTTAATGTTTATGGTCATAATGAAGTTTGAAGAGTAGTGAGTAATTAGGTAGGAATATTTGAACAATGGTAAACAAAGAAAATAATATATGATTAAGAGGTTTTAGAGCTATCTAATTGTTTTAGGAGTAATTCAATATCATTATTTGATCGAATATAGTAAATTTTAGTATTAGGACCTTTCCTGACAAGTACTTTACCGTCCTTACACCAAATATATTGGAAAATCTTACTAAGTTTCGCTTTGGTATTATATAATAGAGTTTTTAAGTGCTTGGTAAGGGCCTCCCTGATGTACACTCGTTGTTCAGCTACTTCCTTCGGCGAGTTTGGTAGGATAGTTCCCACGGAGAAACATTTCTCTTTACCAGCTTCAATCCATTGTTTTTGAGCTGTCTTTGTTTTCATCTCAACAAGGATTGGACCAGGGCGGTCCTTAGAGCTGGGCAAGCGTTGTGAAGATTGAATGTCGCTCACCTTAGTATTCAGTTCTGAAGCTAGCGTTTCTAGGATTTTATCGACGTCTTTGATTGAAGCCTCCGGTAGGCCTGCAATTTCTACCATATTTGATAAAGATTTCTGCTGAAACGTTTTTATTTCTTGTTCTAGTATGATCACTCTAAGTTCGAGGTTTTTGTTCTTATTTTGTAGGTCTTGATTTTTATTTTCTAGTTCTTTCATTTTGCTATCGTGTTTTTTTATGGTTTGGTCAATAGTACTCAGCTGCTCACCCAGGAAAACAATCGAAGTTTCTAGATTTCCAATTTCTTCCCGGAACGTTTTCTTTAACTCCCGGCTGATGTCACTGATAAGCTTCTTGGTGTCAATTTGGGTATTCAAAGAACTCATAACGACAGAGTCATCGTCATCAGCCTCTCCGTCCGGAATGAAAAAGGAAGACCTACGGGATACATTTTTTATACATTCATCGCAGCTCCACTCGATGCTCGGCGAATTGCGTATAGCATTAATCTGTTTATTAGACAGCTTGACGCAGGTTGGATCCGAATGGACAGTAATGTTGCACCTGCTACATACCAGACCCGGTGCTTTTTTTGGTAATATTTTTCTTACAGTTAGCACACTTCACCAACACCATTGTGGGTAGTTCACGGGATTTGGGCGCAAAGCACGTCAAATATTATTAATTATCACTTCTTTAGTTTTTTTCTTTATATATTAATGTAAATAAAATAAAGTTTTTAAAACGAAAGATAAAAATTGTGGTATTAAAATATACACAAAACTGACAGTTGCTAAGCGACACGAATGTATGAATGTATGACACAGTTGGTATGCTATTCATTTTGTAATAAGGAAGAGAAAGTATTTGTTGGTGTATCTATTGTGTTCAAGCAACCTAAATTCAGGTTTATTCTAGTTCAGGTACTTGTTATTGTAGACTATTTCAAATTAAGACATTGTTTGAATTATTTTACAGTGGATTGAAATAAAGAATTATGCCTAAAAGCAAAATCAACGATAATAATAATTATTATTGTTGATTTTGCTTTTTATCTCCCATTTTGAGGGGTGAAAAAGAAATACGTAGGTCACTCAATAAGTTTTGAGATGCTCGAAACTTAAAAATGGAGCGCACCCCGTGTTATATGTTTCTAAAGAGCAAATTTATTTAAAAATAGAACTCCATAGGCCAATTGCTCAATATTATAAAGAAAACAAATTTCTTTTAATTTTCCTGCAACGCTTCCCGCACTTTTTATTTAAAACAATGGATCTTAACCGTGAACATTTGCGCGCTATGATCTATTATAGTTTTAAATTTGGTTGAACCGAACAATCAAGTTTACAACGGTTAAATATTTACACATAAGAGAACTCAGCTCCATCACGCGCAACCATTTTTAGGTGGTTTGCAGCTACCAAAATATGTGGTGCTATTAAGAGAATGAATGATAGCAAAAATAAAGAATATCTTTTTGCATGTGTTATTACGCGGTATTTCAATGGATACCCATACGTCCTCATATTTAGTTTCTAGGTTAGAATGGTGGTAAATACAGTTTTATTTGAATCAGAAGTTAAAACACCACCCCCAGATTTACTTAAGTGATATCAGCTAGTTTCCTGATCACGCCGAAATGTACAATACTTGTTTCCAAACAATTCCACATCTAATATACTATTATTTAATCAAGTTTCACATAAAATCATTACATCATAGTCACTTGTTATTGAGTGAACAAATAAATCATGAGTTTTAGTTCTTAAACCTCTAACATTTTGATAGTAAATCTTAAGATGATTTACTTATTACATACACTATCACTG